TTCATTTTTAATTGGCTAAAACATAGGGAAAATGTTCAGTGATAATGCATTCTTTACATAAGTGTTCAGCTGTATTGATATTTGCACAAACATCTATTAAATAAAATGACAGCATCTTAATTGAAATTTCAAGTTTATTTCTTTAAAATTCATTGTTTAATTCAATAGTTAGAAGTAATAATGCACACTATACAATTCTGCCTGGTCATCGCTATATTCAATCAGCAAACCAATGTCTGTTCAGCATTTGGGACTTTTTAACCTCATTTACCATACTATTTTGAAGTATGGTACCGCAGTGAAATTGTTAATGGAAATGTATGCCTTGATAATGGCCTATCACATCTACAATCAATACCTTGGCCTAGTCTCAGCATCATTAGTAGGGAAACAAACAGATTCCATTAAGATTATCACTGGAATACATACATCAGATGTTGCATATCTACCATGAAAAATACAACTTAGTTGTGATATGGAAGCAAAAGTAAAATATGTTCTAACACTTTATACAGAGTCTTAAAATACTTATTACGTTGTGCTTTCACACAGCCTTCATCAAGGGAGTGTTCCTCTCAACTGCACCTTCTATATAATGCTCTCTTTAGAGTCTCACATGATGAATTTAAGTGAAAACTTAGTAACTGTTAATTTTATTTCTTCAAGTTCTTCTATACCAGTGTGAACACTTCAGTTTCACTCCTCCCTGAACAGAAAACCCCCTCCTCTTAGAGATACTGAAAGGAAAGGTGTGATTGTTTCTCTTTGATTCCCTTTTTCATCTTCTAGGCAGCTCTTTCTTTAAAAGCCAAACCTGCTGCATTTAGAAATTCTATACAGCCATAGTCATAGCTCTGTTTTCCTGCTGCAGGGGTAAGTGGTGCCTGTTTTTTCTGTTGGGAGGAAGATCCTTGCCTATGGCAAGTATCAGCCTCAGCTACTCAGACTGCTGTGCATAGTGCTAGATGAAAGAGTGGGGTTGGACTTATATTTCTGTCCAGATATGGAATATGAGAGGGAAGGCCAAACCCACACTACTCTGGAGACTTTTTTGGAAGCTGCCATGGAAGGAGTAGGTCATCAGGAGCTTGATGTGATGAGCACAGAAAGCAATGCTTGAGAATTAGGAGAGGAAGGAGACATCCATATCCATGCTCTTCCAAATGCCAAGCCTATTTGACACCATTTCAGGGGAGAACTACAGTGGAGAAGAGGCACCTGGGTGTCCATCATGAAAAGGAAAAGGGTGTAGCTGAGCCTACGTTGTCAGGAGATCCAGAGGGTCTCGACCATTTTCTGGATGGTGGTGCAAGAAACCTCCAGTATGAAATAGGAGAGACAGCAGTTGAAATCCTGACTCCAATGAGGTCTGTGGAAGTTTTGTCAGTTGAAATCAATGGGGCAAAGATTTGGCCTGGAATATCTGAAGAGGGGAGCTGGCTGGCTGAGGCCCCGGTATAATGATTCTTGCTAGCTGAGGCACTCTTCTGACAACCAAGTTGTCTCCTGGGAACTCCTCTATGCTGGGAGATTCTACACAATTAGGCAGAAGGACTTCCTGATGCTGGTCTGCATGAGGTCCCTGAATCCAAGCACTTCCTCCTGCCCCTAGACTTGGCCTCCAATTTCTCCACTATACGCTGTGTAGCCGTATCACCTGAATACACCGGGAATGCTGAGGAGAGCATCAGACCCACTTAGATTTCCAGAAAGCCTTTGACGAGGTCCCTCACCAAAGGCTCTTACGTAAATTAAGCTGCCATGGGATAAAAGGGAAGATCCTTTCGTGGATTGAGAACTGGTTAAAAGACAGGGAACAAAGGGTAGGAATTAATGGCAAATTCTCAGAATGGAGAGGGGTAACTAGTGGTGTTCCCCAAGGGTCAGTCCTCGGACCGATCCTATTCAACTTATTCATAAATGATCTGGAGAAAGGGGTAAACAGTGAGGTGGCAAAGTTTGCAGATGATACTAAACTGCTCAAGATAGTTAAGACCAAAGCAGACTGTGAAGAACTTCAAAAAGATCTCACAAAACTAAGTGATTGGGCAACAAAATGGCAAATGAAATTTAATGTGGATAAATGTAAAGTAATGTACATTGGAAAAAATAACCCCAACTATACATACAATATGATGGGGGCTAATTTAGCTACAACAAGTCAGGAAAAAGATCTTGGAGTCATCGTGGATAGTTCTCTGAAAATGTCCACGCAGTGTGCTGAGGCGGTCAAAAAAGCAAACAGGATGTTAGGAATCATTAAAAAGGGGATAGAGAATAAGACTGAGAATATATTATTGCCCTTATATAAATCGATGGTACGCCCTCATCTCGAATACTGCATACAGATGTGGTCTCCTCATCTCAAAAAAAGATATACTGGCACTAGAAAAGGTTCAGAAAAGGGCAACTAAAATGATTAAGGGTTTGGAACGGGTCCCATATGAGGAGAGATTAAAGAGGCTAGGACTCTTCAGCTTGGAAAAGAGGAGACTAAGGGGGGATATGATAGAGATATATAAAATCATGAGTGATGTGGAGAAAGTGGATAAGGAAAAGTTATTTACTTATTCCCATAATACAAGAACTAGGGGTCATCAAATGAAATTAATAGGCAGCAGGTTTAAAACAAATAAAAGGAAGTTCCTCTTCACGCAGCGCACAGTCAACTTGTGGAACTCCTTACCTGAGGAGGTTGTGAAGGCTAGGACTATAACAGAGTTTAAAAGAGAACTGGATAAATTCATGGTGGTTAAGTCCATTAATGGCTATTAGCCAGGACGGGTAAGGAATGGTGTCCCTAGCCTCTGTCTGTCAGAGGGTGGAGGTGGATGGCAGGAGAGAGATCACTTGATCATTGCCTGTTAGGTCCACTCCCTCTGGGGCACCTGGCATTGGCCACTGTCGGTAGACAGGATACTGGGCTAGATAGACCTTTGGTCTGACCCGGTACGGCCTTTCTTATGTTCTTATGTTCTTAGGTTAAGCCCAAACCTTAGTAATCAACTAGAAGCTGAAGAAGCTGTTCCACCTGCTGGAGACAACTGTAATGGCCAGCTTCTTAAATGTGCAATGAGAATATCATCAAAATCTCAAATATTCTGTCCCCATCTATTGACAAGGAATGCAATCTAGCAGTATTTGTGTAGACGAATGCAGACAGAAGTATGTGTTATTACAACACTGGTAATTATAGCATAGTTTTGTTTAGCTGGGATCATAAGATTGGCTGCTTTTTAAACTACAAGGAAGTGTTTCAACTGAAAACACACACACACCCCCGAAGGGTGACATGTATTTTGGTTGCCATGGCACACACTTGGCACAGTTACCTCCACTGAGCACTGTGCTATCTCCAACTAAAACACCAACCTAATATATGTTAAAATAAATCTCTTATCCCACTGACAAAAAAGTATTTGTCCACCCCCTTGTGTTATAGAGAACTGCTCTACAACATTCATGTTTTTCTAATCTACAGTTATATAAATTTAAGTTGTTCCCTTGTAGGAGGTGAAGAAATTACCACCTCTTGCACTACAGTGGAATTCATAAAGTCATATACAATGCAATTCACCATAAGATACTTTCTAGTACAGCTGGCAGAAAGAGGTTTAAAATAGTTTTTTGCTCTCTTCACTACCAAATCAAAACCTTGGATGGCTAGCAGTAAATCAAATTAAGTGTAAAAGAAAGACAGGTCTCCCCAAGGCAAAACACCCTATAAAACAGTCAGCATTCATAACTAAAAAAAGTCCAGTGCATATATATACTGCACACAAGTCTACAATAAGTGTTGTACCACACTGTTTAGTTCATAATAATTTTCTACTGTTGTAGAAAAACTAGAAAAAGAATCTCTGGTCCTGGTGGAATGTAACAGCAGGGTTTTTTCTTTTTAAAATTACAGCACTTTTACTGGAATTTGATGAACAGGAAATGTGTGGTACATGGGAAGGCCTCCTCAAAATGAAAACAGTGCACCATTGCTATAAGTACTGTACTTCTGTAACTTTTCATGCCTCTCCACTGCATGGAAATTTAAATAATTCCATTGCAGATGAGGATTTTACTGATCCAATAGGATTGAAAGGACCCGGTTCCAATGAAATCTCAGTCAGGCTTCCACATAATTTTTCCAGAGACTGCACAGTTTTGAATAAATGAAGAAGCTGGACACAAATAGGCTTGGTCATCACATTTTTACCATATCTACTGTACTTATGAATATATTCCAGGGGTCAGCAACCTTTCAGAAGTGTTGTGCTGAGTCTTCATTTATTCACTCTAATTTAAAGTTTCGCGTGCCAGTAATACAATTTAATGTTTTTAGAAGGTCTCTTTCTGTAAGTCTATAATACATAACTGAACTATTGTTGTATGTAAAATAAATAAGGTTTTTAAAATGTTTAAGAAGCTTCATTTAAAATTCAATTAAAATGCAGAGCCCCCTGGACGGGTGGCCAGGGCCCGGGCAGTGTGAGTGCCACTGAAAATCAGCTCGCGTGCCGCCTTCAGCACGTGTGCCATAGGTTGCCTACCCCTGATATATTCTTTATCAATAGGCAGGAGTGATAAGATGTTTAATGATTCACGATGAAGGATAATACCATATCTAACTGACTCATATTTAGTATTTGGGAATGTCCAGGTTTAAATAGGATTAGTAGTAGGCATCCTTCAGTCTCGAGAGACCATGGGTAAGCAGCTCTGAGAGGTAAAGAATTTTCTCAGTTGGTTTTATGGCAATCGCGGCTGTGGCTGAAGAGACCCACTCGAGAGAGACAATCTCTGCTGCATCTGTCACATTTAAAGGTGATGTTTTGACCCTTTGTGCTCTGCCTTCTGCAAGCTCTTTTCTCCTTTGCTAAGCTGGACGGCTTCCTCTCATAACTCCGGAGACCTTTGTTAAACTCTTGTTTCCAAAGGCTGCAGTCTTAAGTGTGATCTTCCCAGTTGTCCACATCCCATGTCCATTTCTTTAAGGTCTCGCTTGCACACATCCTTGAAATGCAATTTTGGGCATCCTTTGGGTCTTTTTCCAGATGCCAATTCACCAAAAATAATGTCCTTTGGGATGCATCCATCATTTAATTCAGCACACATGCCCAAGCCAGCAGAAGCATCTCTGTTTGAGGAGAGTTTGCATGCTGGCCTGCTTGAGCACATCAGTGTTGGTAACTCTGTCCCTCCAGAAGATTCCAAAGATTCAATGAAGGCAACGCATATGAAAGCGTTTGAGCCTCTTTTCCTGATGAGAGTAAGGTCCACGTCTTGCTCCCATACAAATGTATGCTGATAACACATGCACAATACACAGATCTTTGTGCGTTCTGTCAGTTTGTTCTTTTGCCATACCCTCTTGCTCAGTCTAGACATTGTTGTGGCAGCTTTTCCAATGCAGATGTTGAGTTCCATTTCAAGTGAAAGATTGACTGCGATAGTGGATCCCAGGTGTGTGAATGTGTTCACCACTTCAACTTCATAGTTGTTGATATTGCAGGAGAGTGCTTCCTCAACTCCTTGGCACATTATGTCCATTTTTTTTAGGCTTATGGTAAGCCCAAAGTCTTGGCAGGCTTTGGAAAAACTGTCCATAAGGTTTTGGAGATGAGCTTCTTTGTGGGTTGTCACTGCTGTGTCATCAGCAAAGAGGAGGAGTTGGATAAGGGTCTCCCAAGTCTTGGTTTTAGATCTGAGTCATGCAAAATATAGGAATAGCAAGGAGAAGAAGATCACAGAGTTGGGGCAAGTACACAGCCTTGCTTAACTCTGCTACAAATCTGGAAAGCCTCAGAAACTGAGCCGTTGTATTGAATGGTGCCGTACATGTTTTCATGTAAGGATCGAATCATGCTTAAGGACTTTGAAGGGCATCCAATCTTTTCTAGAAACGCAAATAGTCAGCTTCTACTGACAAGGTCAAAAGTCTTTGTGAGATCAGTGAAGGCCACGTAAAGGGGCTTTTTTTGTTCTCTGCATTTCTCTTATAGTTGTCGCACTGAGAAGATCATGTCAATAGTAGACCTTTTAGCTCTGAAACTGCACTGTTATTTGGGATAGACTCTGTCTGCAAGGGTCTAAAGTCTGTTCAGGACAACTCGGGCAAAGGTTTTTTCCATAATGCTAAGAAGGGAAATGCCATGATAGTTGTTACAGTCACTGCTGTCTCCCTTTTTTTTTTTTTATAGAGAGTGCTAATGTCATCTCTCGTTTCTTGTGGTACTTCGCCTTCTTTCCAGCACAGGTAGAGCAAATCATGAAGATGTTGCAGTAGAATAGGTTTTCTGCATTTTATGACCTCTGAGGGTATTCAGTCTTTTCTGGGGGCCTTTCCACTGGGGAGTCCATATATGGCAAGGCTAAGCTCTTCGACAGTTGGTTCATCGTCCAGTTGGTTCCTAACAGGCAGGTTTTTGATGGCATTGATGGGATAAGATGATAACATAATCCTGATACCTAAAAGAGAATTCTCAGTAAAAGGTAACTTTTATGATTGCAATACATCAACAGCAAGTTACCCTGGGCCCAACTAACTGTTGCCCTGCACTTAGTGCACAGTGAGTGAAAAACAGTATCAATGGTTAGTATTTTGCACCCATTTTGCAGGGGTTTAAATGATTGCCCCATGTGCAGGACAACAAAGAATCTGGCTCCCTCTACAAGAGAATTTTAAACTTATTATAGGCTTATTGCTACTTTTGAGACATATTTCTATGCTATTCTGCTGCTTTTTAGACATTATACCAATACTAAAAATTATACAAAAATCTAAGTGAACATGACATAGGTAAATTCAAACATGTTATTACAACATAAAGATTGAGAATTTAAGGTCTGTTCCTGCTCTCGTTGAAGTCTATAGGAGTTTTGCCATTTATTTCAACATGAGCAGGATTGGATTTTTAAACACATAAAAGTCAGAAAAGAAAAATTATGGCTCCTTCTGTAACTGTAATTTGTTTCCACTGGTTATAGTCCAAAACCCCCAAAACCTTTGCTTTTAAAAAAAATTAGGATACTGACAACAATATACATATCTACCATGCCATTGTAAAACCCAAGAATTTAAAACCCAAAGACGTTCTAAATTTCACTCACCCCAAATAACGCAGACATATTATCAAGTACAAATAAATTAATATTTCATACCACCACCACAGCCTTGTAGTTGATTGTTATGATGTCATGTGATCAGCTACACATTCCACACTTCAAGCTGGAGTTCTTGTATTGATATGCATCACTGCATATCTTGGATAACAAAGTATGCAGTTTCAAAACACATCTTTTAATTTTGGAGTTTGATCTGTTAATGCAATCTGGGGTTCATCACTGTGAGTGTGCAGATTGAGAGACGGTAGATGCCAGGCTTGTGAGTGGAGGACTGAAAGGAGGATCTAAACCTGGAAGACTAACTCATAATAACAAAAATAATAATAATAATAATAATAAAGATGTTCTGAAGAAGAGGGTACTAACTACACTAACTAGACTCCCATCCTAGAAGTGGTGGTATGGTTGATTAAAGGTTTCTGGAGACAGAAGCTCTAATAAAGTTATATCTAAGCATAGGATTTCATTAAAGAAAATTTTTTGTTTACTGCTGAAAGAAATTGATTTTAGTTTTATTTTGTCTATGCCAGAGCCTTAGCTGGTGTAGATGGGCATAGCTCCATTCCTGATTATTTTAACCAGACTAAACCCCTTTTAAGCCAACAGACATTCTGGTCCACATATTTTAAAGCAATATTTGCTGTATTATAATATATACTTCTGAAAATTTAGCTTCTTTTTATGCCTGCATGCATCCCATAATTTTGTTAGATTTGTAAATAAGCATTTTTTCATTTTTCTTACTCTGTTTTCCTTATTTTTAATTTAACAATAAGTAATCAGGAAGGGTACAAAAACAGAAGGGTGGGAAAGAAGTCTAACATGACTGAAACACTAAAAACATCTTAGAGGGAACGAGGAAGGTAGCCTTTAAACAAGGAAAAGAAATGTTAATTTAGTGGTATGGAATTTAAATATTCTTTTATTATGTTTGTCCTTTATAATAGGTCCATGCTGGAGGCCAATTCAACACATGCCTCCAAAACCAAAACCAGATGCAAGCCCTAATGATAAATACATAAACGATATTGAATAATTTGAGCTAAAACAAAGAAAAAATATTTACCCCATCCACAGTTCCGAATCTCGAGTAAGTAGATTGACATAAATTCTTTGAACCCAAAGGAACTTCATTTATATCATAATCTTTAGGTTCAGCCTCTCTGTTTTGGTGCCTTTAAAAAAAAGTTTATATTTGTGAGATGACAAATGTAATCATGATCTCTTGTTTTGAAATCAAAATTTCACTGGATATAGTGAAATTCTCCACATTTATGCATATCATAGGCGTCGCACTACTGTACCACCCATTCTTTTATGCTACTATTATAATCACTAGTGCAGTTGCTGGTTGCAATAGTATCTTGTTGCACCTAGAGGTGAAGAGTGAGATTTACCACTGAAAATAATATATTTAATAGTAATACTAAATATAATTAAACAGAAAAAAATAAAGAAAAAATCTAACAGAAAGAAACTAGGAAAGCAATAGACATGTTGACTGAAGTTTTACATCAACAAAACTACGGCATATCAGCTAACCTATCACTACCCCTTTTCCCCTTTGAAAAAATGTTATGAGAATCCAAAATGACATGAAAAAAGGATAATGTAATTTTAGGTCAAGGTATCTTTTGATAAAACAATTAACATTTAAATCAGAAAGTTTCTTTATTTAGTGAAATAAACACTATGCAAATTATACAAATAATCCTGCATTACATACTAATCTGTTTACACCAGGCAAGGAACTCAAGCTGCCTGCTGGTGAAACGCATTCACTAGCTAAGGCAAAGCCAATGTCAGACAAGTATCCAACTCCCTCCTGCTCATGCCTTTGAAATAATTTATTAGCAAACAATTAAATCTGAGACTGAATTTCCATACCTAGTCTAAATGGATTCTGTTTGCTCCCCTGAGACTGATGAGTGTGATACATTAGAAGAGATTTTCAGTCACAAAGGCAGAATGTTATGTGCCAAGCACTGTCAAAAATCCATTTTTATTTACATCCTGGAGAGCACGTATAAAGGTTCAGCCAATACAGCACTCTATAAAAAGAAATATTTCAGTTCTTCATGGTTACAAATAATGGAGAAGAATTTAATTTTTGTGTCAGGAACTAGCATTCAGAAGTATAAAACGTTCAATGGATACTTGAATACATTATCTATTGAATACATTATCTATTCCTAGAAAACCCTTCTAGATGGGGAAGGAATATAACTGCTAGTCTTCACCTTACTGTCATTTTAGCCACACAGAAAGGGATTATGCAGGGACACTACACTAACGAGACACCTTTTGGATATATATAATCAATAGAACTGCTAAGGGATAACTGTAGAATACAAAAAGGCAACTTTGAACAGCAGCAGCAAAGTGCAAGAATGGATGAAAACCCTAAACATATCCTCCCCTCCCACCTTTCCTTCCTTGGTGAGAGAAATAGCTTACATTGGTGTGGGTGAAATCCTGATCCTATTGAAGTCAATGGGAGTTTGGCATTTACTTAAACAAAGCCAGGATTTCACTGTGTGCATGTGTGAGAGAATGTAGTTGATGTAAAGGAGATTTAGATCTCGATGTCATCTGTATATTGATGGCCTTTTAAAATGTGTACTCGCAGTTGCTCTCTCACTAGCTTTATATAGATGTTGAATAATGTGATGGAGAGAACTGAGGCCTGCGAGACTCCAAGGGCTTTAATGCGGAGGAACAGTTATACCAAACCATCCTCTGAGTCCATCCATGCCTACACGGAGCAGCAATGCTCACTACAGGGATGTAATTTCTAAAGCGCACTAACGTGCTGTGCACTAATTCTCTGTGTAGACGCTTCTGGTGCACACTAAACATTCTCTCCCACACTTAAATATAGTGCTGTTTCAAACAGAACTATGTTTAAGTGCATTAGGAAACTTGTAGTGTGCAACAGCAGGGTCTACATGGACTAATTAGTGTGCAATATCTTAGTACATTTTAGAAATCACACCCCTGTAGTGCACATTGCTGCTCCACGTAGACAAGCCCTATGTGTTTTTACAGGGCCTACCGTGATAGGATCCTGAATCTGATTGGGGCCTGCAGGCACTGCCATAACATTAAAAACAATTATACAAATCAGGGCAAGATATTTTGGGTGGGAAATTAATTTTGCTTACAGCTTTTAAAATAATCTCTCTATATGCAAAAGAGCTTTAAAGACAGTAGGAAAGTATTCCTGTCCAACAAATGTTTATTTAATTGGAAAAAATGTCACTCCCTACATTCTTATGGGAGTACAGTACAGTATTCTATTTGAATGTTTCTCTCCCTTTTAATGGCTATGGACTCATGAGTTGTTTTCAAGCTTTGGTACTAAAGGATTCTTTTACTAGAATGGATTCTTTCTTTTCAAAGAGACAAGACAGGTGGTCCACACATGCCTCTCACAAGCTGTTCAGTGGAAGTCCAAGCTGGAGGTCAAATTGTCATTTTAAC